TCTACCCATAAAAAAAAAGTTTATAAAAAAGAACAGTTGCAAACGTGTTTTTTTTTGTTAATAAACCTCGTTCTTTGGAATACATTTTGAAGAATCTTTTTGGATTTCTTGTGTGAAAAGTGCATTCTGGCAGACTAAGAACATGCGATCATCAAAGAATATGTCTGAATACATTTTCGAAAAACCGTTTTTTTTATCAACTAGCAGTGTATTAAATAAAAACAGTTCTTCAGTATTAAGAACGTATTTGTGCTTTAACAAGAAGAATGTAATGTGGTCGAACGCGTTCTTAACAACAAAGAACTGTTTTTATTAAACGTATTCCTATTTGATAAAAATCTGTTTTTCAAGAATACGTTCAAACAACATATTCTTTGCTGATCGCATTCTAAGACTATCAGAACACACTTTTTCGCGTAAGAAACCCAAAACAGTTCTTCAAAACGCATTCGAAGGAATGCTAAAAGTGTCTTAAGAACGCGTTTAATTTTTATTTTTCGACGAAGAGATAAGAAAAAAGAACGTATCTTCTTTAGATTTTATGTAGTTTTAACAGTTTATTTTGTAGTAGATGGAGCCACAAGTTGTAACTCTTGTTTTAAATGTTTTGGTTTTTCTTATCTGAAATTATAATAGGACAAAAAAAAGTTTCCGTAAAATTTTCTTATTAAAATCTAGTTGTATTTTCGAGACTATCACAATATGAGTTGTAAAACGGTAATAAGTAAATATAGAATTATGGTGATTTTAAACCAATAGAAATTCTGTAATGAAAAAAAAGGTGTTTGATGTTTTCTGGGAATGATTAAATTAATGCTATTTATCTATTTGGAAGAATTTTTGTGGAAACCTTCGATCATGATCTCAGAGAGAATTATGTTTTATTTTCGTATTAAAAGTCTTAAATAACAGATACAACATAGATTTTGCTATTGTTTTCTAATTTTCTTTTGTCCAAAATCCTTTTTGTTTATTAAACCATAAAAAGAAAATAAATTTTTGTTTTTTTTATAAATGTTAATAGTATCTGTTCGATATACCATTATGATTGATCCTAATCAATATCTTCATTATTTACTAATTCAAATAAAAAACGAAAAATCATGAACAAATTTGTACTAGAAAGAAAAAATAAATATCAGTCATATTTTTCTTTTCATTGATCTACATGTATAACATTAAAGATTATTTTTGAAATAATTAGAATTTATAAATAATATTAATTCGATTCAATAAAGATCCGCAATCGTTTTCTTTTTTCTTCATGATTCTAATTGAATAATATAACTAATTATTATATTCGGTGTTTTTTTTTTCTAGATCAACTACATTAAATTTTTATTTCTTGTTCTGTCATATATTAATATAATCGTCATGTGTAGTTCTGATATATGTTCTAAATGAAAAATAACAAGTAAATAATATACATATATATACATATATTTTTTTTTCTTTTTAATTATTTTTTTCACAACTCTTCGAATAAAATCAATTCAACAGAATCACATGATTTTTCTTTTCTCTACAATACATAAATAATGGCCATGACTTGAAACAGAACGATTCAATGACAAATAGTAACAGAAAAAAATTCACTGGCCTTGTGTACACACGGTAGTGTAGAGGAAAAAAAAAACATAAAGAAGAGTTATCGCATTCCAATATTTATACTAAAAAAAAGCATTGTAATATGAAAAAATATCCTTTTTCCATATGTACCTCATGTTATTCAAACGTAAAAATGTCATAATCGATGAACAGTAAGCGGTTCTATTTAAATGAGAATATTTGTTATAAAACATGCAATCTTTTACAGAATTATAAAAGATATTTTCTATTTACTTTTTTTTCTTTCATATAGAGTTCACTACCATCATCAAACACATTCTATTTACAGAAATCCTCATTCAATCCGATCTCGTTGGTCCATTATGAAATCACAAGATTTCCTTGAAAACAGATGTGTTATTTCTATTCTGACAGTCTTACGTGTTTTGACAATAATTCCATACAAATGTATAGTAAGTATTATATAGAAGATAGAATGAGAATTTTTTTATTTATATTTATATGTATAGGTGACAGTATTACGAACAATTGTTGAATTAGGTAATTTTTCTTCTTTAACTCATTCAACTGGAAAAGGTATAGAAAATTAATAAATGATTATAATAATTTATTTATTTTTTTCTTATTATGTAGAACATTATAGTTGTGAATATGGTTCAATTAAATATTACATTTATTGTGGTATTGCTGGAATGTTAAGTTGTGGTATAACACATACAGCACTTGTTCCAATTGTATGTTATTGATTTTGATACATTGATAAAGTTTCTATTTTTTTACTTCTTCTAATTCTTCTTGTATTTAAAGATTTTCACATTATCTTCAAACATAATAACTATTTGATAAATTCTATATTATTTTCATATGAACTAGAAATTTCGAATAATCTTTTTAAATTCTATGAATAAAATTCATTTGCCTTTTGATGAGTTACAAAATTCATTAGATCAACAAAAAATAGAATTCGTCGGACTCTAGTAGTAAATAATATACGAGACTTGGATGAATAATTTGTTTTGTCTTTTTTTTGGATTATAGGACCTTATCAAATGTCGTTTACAAGTAAAACCACAAAAATATGTGAATCTCATTAATGGTTTTAAATTAACTATTGCGTATGTTTTAATTATTGTCTTTATTATGTTTTTTTTTTGATAAATAAAAATTATTTGATTAATTTAGAGAAGAAGGTTTCTTTGGTTTAACCAAAGGTTGGGCGCCAACATTAATTGGTTATTCTTTACAAGGTCTTGGAAAATTTGGTTTTTATGAAGTATTTAAAAATTTTTATGGTGGAATGCTTGGCGAAGAAAATGCTTATATTTATCGAACAACACTTTATTTATTATCAAGTGCTTCAGCAGAACTTTTTGCTGATATTGCTTTAGCACCATGGGAAGCAACAAAAGTACGAATACAAACACAAGATAATTGGGCATCATCTTTAAGACAAGGTTTACCTAAACTTTATGGTAAGAATATTAATAATTTTTTGTTTTGATTAATTAAATATCTTTTCTTTCTATAGCTGAAGAAAGACTATGGGGGTAAGATAAGATCAATATAATTATGTCATTTTAAATAAAAACAAAAATGATACTATTTAGATTTTATAAAGGTATTGTACCATTATGGCTTCGTCAAATCCCATATACAATGATGAAATTTGCATGTTTCGAACGTACTATTGAAGCACTTTATAAATATGTTATACCTAAATCACGTGAACAGTGTACAAAAAGTGAACAATTAGGTGTAACATTTATTGCTGGTTATATAGCTGGAATATTTTGTGCTATTGTTAGTCATCCAGCTGATACAATTGTATCAAAATTAAATAATGAAAAAGGTCTTAGTTTATTTGATGCTGTACGACGTGTTGGATTTGCTGGTAATTTTAAATGTTTTTGTTTTATTTGTCAATGAAAATTATATTTGTTTTTCTTTTTTTGTTATTTAGGTTTATGGAAAGGTCTTGGTCCACGTATTTTTATGATAGGTACATTAACAGCTTTACAATGGTTTATTTATGATACAGTTAAAGTCATTTTTGCATTACCACGACCACCACCACCACAACCGCCACTGTCATTGCAGAAAAAATATGGTTTAACTGGTGATAAAGAACCTTTAATATGTGATTTAAGTGTGAAAACTTGACAAATAAAATTCTTGCGAATTTTTCTTTTATATACATTTAATTTTCATTTTTGTTTTGCTTTTTTTTGTCTTATTCTGGTATCATTTGGATTTATTTGGCGCTTAAGTTGTTATTTATGTGATATGTGTATATAAATTTTGTTGAGTTTAGAAAAAAAAACAAGGCGGAAAAAAAAAATAAATAACACAATCTTTTATTCACATATATATAATTATCTAAACTTCTAGGCTACAATTCATGACTTGTAAACTCAAATTCTTTTCTGTCTAGCGAAGAACATTCTCTAATTGATTCATTGCTTTTGAATCAGGACTATGTAGATCCTAAGAGTTTATTAATACTGTGAAAAGTGTCCGAATTCTTAGCTTATTACTGCACAGATTATTGTATTTTACAGTGTTTTTGAAACCAGTGAGTTTCTCTTAGGAAAACTGATTTTAGAATTTTTATTTAAAAATTCGCAGAGAGACAGACCTTGACTATTCTCGTTAAGATCTGTATCTATGCAGAATTTCAAGTCGAAATTCGAAAATCAGTTTTCTTGATTTTCTTGATTGTACCTAAGGTGTGAATTTCAAAAAAATAGCTTAAAAATGCAATATCTCAACAGTAATAAGCTAAGGGTTTGAACTCTTTTTCAGGTCATTCATAGCTCAATTGGGTTTACATAATCTTGACTCAATAGGGATGCATCAGTTGGGAAACTTTTCTAGTAAGCTGACAGTAAGAGAAAACAACACTTGAAACAAGGTTGAATCGTTTTTGCGTAGAATAATTCTAAGTTCGTTTTAGTTTATAATTATTCAGGAAGTATAGTATCTCCGATTTTCTGGATATATAATGTAATTCATCGAAAGGTTTATGTACGTGGGTAATCCTCTTACTCAATACTGAGTTTTAAAATCAATATTAATTATTAAATAGAATTCAAAAAAAAAATTTCTTAAGGAAGATTTATTTTTATAATTTAATTAATTTTAATCAAAATAAACGATTGAATATTTATGAAAAGTTTTTAATCATACAAATCAGTTGATGGTAGGTTTTAATGTTATTCTTTCATGATATTGATTTGATACATACAACTTCTCTCTTCTAGAATTGTAGTTAATTGTATCCTTAAGATTATCTGATAGAACTATTTCGATAACTCGAGAATAGCATTGTTACTAAGATTGACTCTAGTTTTCTCCAAGTTGAAAGAAACTCAATTGATTTCATGTTTAAATCATGTTTTCAAAAAAAGCCGATGAATCTTATTTGAACTATATTATGTGTGAATTGTAATTTTTTGGTACGATTGAAGTTCTGACTGTATTCGAATAATAATTTCTGTTCTTGTTACCTAATGTGAACTATTTCTTAATGTGTTATTTCTCTCAGAGTATCCCACACTTATACGTAATTTATATTCTCTACCTTATACCATCTTTGACTTATGAGATTCACACTGTGAAAAAATCATATTTTATGCTGAGTTGTCCTACGAACAGGTAAGGACGAAGGTCGATAAGGCAATTTTTCTTTCCAAAAAAAGTTTTTAAAAAACACCTTATGGCGATAACAAATCACTTATGAGCTACAATATGGGCATAGTTATTTATCTTGACTTGGTATCGAGGTTTTTCGCACCTGTACTCCCGCAGGTTATCTAAGAAGTTTTTGTCTCATTTTTGAATGAAATACATAGAGTAATATAGAGTCGATGGTTCTGATTACGAATATCATGTTAGTTTTTGTCTAAACTATTTCGATGAATGAGGAGAACAAATTTCCAAGAAATTAAACTCTAGATGAATAAGCGTGCTGTTCTTTGTGTTTAACCAGCTGTCGACCTTATATTATGTTCTAAACGCTTGAAAACAATTTCTAATGGGTATTTAAGTATTTTTTATCTGATGATACAGAAATAAAGACATTTTGATATATGAAACAGCTAATAGGACCGGATTACGAGTAAAAATAGCAGTTAATTGACGTGTGCAGCTTCTTGTAAAATTCTATCACTTCCCTATCTCACTCGGTTAGTCCTTAAAAATGATATTAGCAGATCCGGTTTTTTATACTCTATTCTAATATATCTTTGAAGACAAACAAAGATCTATTCTTTTAGAATAAAATTACCATTTAGTAGTGAAAAGTTATATTTTTCAGATCATCTTTTCACAGTTCTCGCATACAGTGTGTCGTTCTATATGTTTAACTGACACAATTAGTATTCAATTAGTTAGAAGACACTCAATAACCTATTTCGGATACTTTTCAAGCATTACAGATCCTATGCAGACAGATTGAAAAAGATTATAAAACTTTTTACTATAACAATTAATAATGTTGAAAAACAACAAAGAAGATCTAGTCATTTCCATCACTACGGCTTTATTTTTCAAAAAAGAACCACATGATAATAATAAGTCGATCATCGACTACAACTGAGGCATACTTATTCCTATTTATTTGTCATCAAGATTTTTCACACTTGTATCCTGACTCTAACCTTCAGAGGAATCTAAAAAATTGTTTTCATTGATTTTTGACTCAAACATATGCCATAATATAGAGTTCATAGCATTGATCATGAATATTTCCTCAGTCTTAGTCTAAACCATTTTAACAATTGAAGAGACGAAATATAAAATATTGTGACCTTAAATAAACGAGACAATCCTCTCTGTTTGCTTTTTTTTAAAGTCATTTCCGCACCAATACAGTACTCTAAATCTTTGAAAAACTATTTAATATAGATAATCGAGTGTCCTTTATCTAATGGAATACTAGGGTTTAATTTCTTGAAAATTGCATTTCACTCAAAGATAAGACAAATGGATTTTAGGTAATCTGAGGAGGTGCACAGGCGCGAAAAACTTCCATGTCAAACCAATGTAGATAACTATGCCCATATTGTAATCCATGAGCGATTTGTTATCGTCATGAAGTTTTTTTTTTTGAAAAATGTTTTAGGAAGAAGTATGGCCTTGTCGACCATTGTCATTTATATTATATAATGAAATTTAGAACGAACTTTTTTTCAGTACTATTTAAATAAAAGTTGGGTCAAAATGAATGTTAAATTGTAGTATTCGATTCTTTTCATTGAGAGAACGTACTCTACCCTTATTGCAAAAAAATACGAAATGATAATTGTACTGCATAGAATTTCAGTGAATTATTACTGAGTTTTTCATTTAAATAATATCGTCAACGAAGTATCTCCACTGAATGATCTTATATCTTCGCGAATATCCCAGGCAGTATTTGAAACATTTTTTTTCTGTTTAACATAGACATATAATAGAACATAATTTACTAATAAGATGATATTTCATTAAACTTTTAGTTGTTTATGTCGATCGTATCAAAAAAACTTGCCGTCCATTTATATGCTCTAATATTTCGACAATCTCTATCTTGTATTTCGTTTAACTCATTACATTTCCATTGTATCGAAAGACTTTAAAATATCACGATCTGCTATTTTTCGTTTAGTTAACCAAAAAACAATATGTATTGAATCAATTAATTATGCATTAGATTGTCCTTGATGTCACTTAACTATTTATTATCAATTCAGATTCGATGAGTCTATTGTTTCTATCATAGAAAAATATTCTTCTCGAAAAAGAATTATAAATCATTACAATTACATAATAGAGTATGTACAGTTCATTTTCTCATTTCATTAGATATTTATCTTAACTGGCTTTCAATAAAGAATGAACTTCTCACCAGGTTACCGATAAGTTTGTTAGTTTTTATAACCCAGACCAGACTTATGGTTTATATCAAAAGGTGCACCATATTATTCTATTAAAATATTTTGTTAAATATTATAACAAATTTTCAAAATAAATTAATTATCCATATTTAATGAGTAACTCTTAGTCATCAACAGTTAATGGTCTAAAATGTTTAATACTTCAATGAACAATCTAAGATATATGTAAGTATCTAGGATAATTGGAATAGATAAAATTATAAAACATGCCATATATATATATATATCAAATAAAAACCATTGTTTGACACTTCACTTTCAGAAACTGTCATTACAACGTAGGTCTATATGACATCAAAATAAATATAATTTTTTTAAAACTTTATTATGATGTAATATATAGGTCAAAATTACAATGACAATTTTGAAAGCAAAGTCTCAAACAATGGTTTTTATTAGATATGAGTTATATATTATAATTTTTATCAATTCGAATTACCCTAGATGCTCATACATATCTCAGAATATCCATTGAAACATTAAGCATTTCAAACCGTTAACTATTGATGACTGAGAGTTACTCATTAAATATGTATGATCAATTTATTTTAAAAATTTGTTATAATTTCTAACAAAATATTTTAATTCATTATGTGTCTATCTTAAACTTATAATCTTTTGTAACAATTTTTGATTTTGACAGATTTGTAGAAAATCTAATTGTATACCTTTTGATATAAACCATAAGTCTAAACGATCAAAGCAAACAAAGTAGTCGACAAAGAAATTATGAGAGGTTTATTATTTATGGACCATCCGTTACATCAGATTCTATTTTCTTTTAATAATGCTGTTGTTGTTGTTGTTGGTTTTTTCTGAACTCGTCCTAATACAATAATGTCTAACTTTAACGGCAATAATATTATAATACATAATGATTAAATACAAATCGTAATTGATTATCGAGAATTGTTATTATTTTTAATATATCAAATAATGAGATATGGTAATTATGTAAAGGTGTAGACGAAACAGTTTTCATACATACACTCCAAATGTATTTATATGTTTCGTATATTTGTCATATTTTCTAATGATTAAGATGACATTTATTATTCCAAGAAAAGTTTAGTGTAGAATATCTGATATAATTAGTTATATGGGTTTATTTTTCTATTTTTATCGTTTCATTTTTATATATGTACCTCATTAAGCTGACGGGTTATTGGATCGAAGGAAACACTCATATTATAAGTAAACTAATCATATTTATGATCAGAACTAAACATTCTATACGTTTGTTTTGTTTTGTATTATAAACTTTATTCAATATACATTCTATCAATCTAACAAAGATAGTTTATTTATAAATAAAATCATCATAGTATGTTAATAAAATTTCAGATAATAAAATATCAAATTAAGACAAAAAAAAGAAATTTATATCTATCGAATCAGAAATATAGATATAAGACAATTCTTAGTAACATTTGTATGCATAGATTTTTTTTTCTTTAAAGATGTGCGATTTTTATATGCTAAATGTCATTATGTTCTTGAAACAATTATTAATAATTATAAAGGTTCTGTTCAAAATACAACATATAATTGTTATGAAATGTTCTCATATGACCTGTAGATTTTTTGTCTACTAACATTATAAGTGCCTATGTTCTAAAACGTCGTTTAGTGTATTTTATGAAAAACGAATAAGAAAAAAAAAACAATTAAATTTGATCGTATACAAAAAAAACATTTATAGTTGTATGCTTCTATCGTTGCTATGATAGGAATGTAAATATTTGAAAAAATAGAGGAAATCCGTAAAATCGACAGTTTTCTTTTTTATATTTAATAAACATCTATGACCTTATTCACGATAATAAATTATTTTTTGATTTATTCTCGTGCATAAGTGAATATAGATTGTCTTTAGATTATGCTCTATTGAAATCTATGAACAATTCGTTGACTTTATTTTTGCATTATATAATTTCTTTCTTTGTATCTTGATTGATGTCACCTAAAAAAGTTCTAATAAAAAAAAAAGAGAAATTTAAACTTGAAATACAACATTTAGATTTTTATTACATATCATTCTTATTTTTTTCATTTTTATTCTTATTTATTTCACACAACACAAGCACACATAGAATAAAACTTTAACATTTCTCAAAAGAAAACTGTTCGTAATACAAATTTGTTTTATTTTATTTTTTATATTGATTACATTAAATCGATTTTTTCTACTTTGATATCAACCATATCACCATAACCTTTAGTAAGCACAGGTATATTGGAACTGGTAATAAAACGTGTTTTACCATCAGCAACAATTCGTACACGTATTGAATAATTCGATGTTTTTTCTATATCTTTTTCATCATATTCAAGTATAAATGCTATGGGAAATGTTCTAATTTGGTTTTCAAGAATTAATTTTGCAATAGTATGAAACTTACGAACATATGAACCATCTTGTGAAGCAATATCTATATGTAGAAATTTAATAATAAAAATAATAATATGGCATTTAAAAATTCGTTTTCTTTTCTTTTTAATTTCACTTACCAGTTAATGTCATATCATCGAGATAAATTAAAACCTTGTGATTATCATTGAGAATTTCATTATGTTTTTCATAATCAATCGTGCCTTCTATACGTCTGACCATTTTTATTAATTTAGATTATATGAATAGTTTCTTTGATAGCTCTTAAATAGATATATATTAATAAAAGATTTCTTATATCTAAGGTCTTATACAAACCTTGATTAGTTCTTGCGCGTGCTGATGAATGTGCTGTAAGAGCAATTATAATTGATTGTGCGAGTATAAAGAAGAAACACACAATCTATACGTGAGATAATGTGTTTGCCGGCTCGAATCGACAAGGTGTATGTGTGTGTTTGTTGGCTATAGCTTGCGTTTTAAAAAGGAGACGGAAATTTGCGCTCAGACAAAGCGATTGTTTCTCCTTTCTTTCTCTATTTCGATATCCGCTGATCGTTGGAAAAACGTTGACTCTCATTTTTTTTTTGTTAGTCTTTTCTTTCCCTCCTTTTTCTAAAAAGAACATAAAAATGCTCGCAGCGAGAGCATTCAACATTGCGTGCCATTAACATCTCGTTCTGTACTTCATTCTTAGAAAAGCAAAGAAAGAAGTCTATATTATTAATGAAAGTTAAAAACAAGTAAAAAAAAAAAAAGGAAACACAATATTAAAAGAAAAGAAAAAAGAATAGTTGCTTCATTTTGTTTTACTTTTCCGATCGATAATGGATTTGTCATCAGTGTCTGTCGATCCATCACTGAGAGAAAAAAATCAACGAGTATAAAGTATGACATACAATAGAAATGAACTCCAGACAAATATACTAGGAGAAAATTGATAATTTGAACTCTCAAAGAAATCTAAGAGATTTTTATAAAATGACGCACTCATTCTATTGACTGTTGTTTCTATTTGTTATACATGTGCGTGTTATATAATAGTTAAGTCTAAATTAATTAGATTCATTTGTTTTTTCTTATTTTTACCTAACTTTCTTTCTTTTTTACCGTCTAATAAAATTTGATGAGTTATATTATCAATTGAAAATTAGAATTGAATTTATAACGATGAGACAAATATATTGATCAATGAAAGAAAAAGGAATATTATGTATATGAAAAATATGTCTTGAAACTTTTAGGTTTGTCGTATAATGAAATATTAGTGTTGTTGTATTGAATAATTTTAAAGAGAATAATTGTTAGTTTTATCGAACATTTTTATTATTTTAAGCTATAATTATTAATGCAACACAATGATATTAATTTATCTTAATAAGTAAATTATTACTTTTCATTATAATTTTATCATCTTTGTTATTTTTTTTGAATTAATACTTAAATTTCTCAGGAAGAAAAACAGAAAATTCTAATAGATCTGTAAACTTTATTATAGAATATTTTATATAATGAGTAATATTTTTTTAGTATTTATTTAAATATTCATTGTATGCTATGAAAGAATATCGCATGTGAAATTCAATATGTGTCGAAGTGACGGTGATCAATATATTTTAAAATTAATCACAAAGTATGAATCATCGTCTTTGAAAAGTTTATAAGGAATTTTGAATGGCAATTCGTCATCAACTTTAAAATAAAAAATAACTCTCTCTATTAGTTTCACATTCATTTACAAGAAAATCAAGGGCATTTAAAAATTTTTTCTGTATTGCAACCCATGAATACAGAAAACTATTTGTCGTAAGGGAACGCTACCAAGAAAAAAATAGTTTAACTCTTCTATGTTCTTTTGTGGTTGTTATTGTTGTTGTAACGATGAGAATTAAAGTTCAAGATATAATCAATTTATAATCACAATAATTGATTGCGTTGTCTTAACATGTTTACAACGCATTTGTTTTTTTTTTTCTAAATAGAAAAGACTGACTGTTTTAGTCTATCGTATTAATGAAAAAACTAACCTAAAGAAGACGGTGGCTATCAAGATAGAAAGTGATCTGGGCATTCTTCCTTGATATCACTGAATAAAATTTCGTTGAGTTAGATTTTGCTGATAATCACACACACTATGACAACAAACTTCTTATATTGAAAAAGTAAACTTTTGTATTTTAATAAAAGGCCAAACAGTACAAGTAATTGAATGTCAATGTAATTTTTACGTGAGGAGAAACAAACCACTTTATGATCAATTGCATCTTTGATAGGAATGCTTGGCAACTTTTTTTTTCAGACTACTAAATTTACTATTGTTCAGCAAAATTATGAATAAAACAGGAAATATGTTGAGCAAGCGATATGCGGTTCAAGTAATCGAAGCAAAATACACAGTTCAATACTTTGAAAAAGATGTGCTCTATATACAATCATAGTTGGAATCGATTGTAATCGATATATTTCGGACAATTCTAAAGTAGTGGCGGAAGTACTTTAGTTCCTTATAGAACATTTAAAGAAACTTTTTCTCTATATCGACTGATGGTAAAAACGATGTTCTATTTTCTCTATGCTATTACATCATTCTTCAAGTAATATCATCATAATAAAATTTCGATAAAACCTATTTTTCTATTATATGTGCTGATTATACTAATGTCTATTTAGTGGATACTTTTTGAATAACCTTTGATAGAACCAAGATAGAGAACTACAGTTCTCATCGTTCGAAAGACGAGATAAAGATGCATTGAGTCGTATATTATAGGTTTCTTCTTATATGACTTTTTTGATGCTTTCAATAGATCTCTTTGAAAACAAACCTATCCCATGAGCTGTTTACAGCGAATTCTTAATTGTCAGGTGTGTATTCAAACCGCCAATGGAAGGTCTACAAAACTGCACAAGGTTAAGATGTTTAGAATTAATCATTCAGGAGATATAGGTATTCTAGTCGAATCTCTTAAGTAATTTTTCTGTCAATTTCTGTAATAAAAAATATATTTTTGGGTGTGGGTGTGGGTGTGGGTGTGGGTGTGGGTGTTGGTCTTATTGCAACGCACCCATACCCACTCTTCGACGGCGAACAAATTGTTTCATATGTGCCCACAGACCTTCTATAGCATTACACTCACAGTGGAATCTTGGACAAAAAGTAATGGTAACGTTGTACTCGGCAACAAGCTTTTCCAACTTTGAAACCTAAAAATACATTGGAAGCAACGAAGCAGAAAGTTGTGCTCAATAAGTAAACATAGAACTAAACGAAAAACATACATTCTGAAATGCGGAATGTTTGACTAACAGTGTTTTCAATTCCGATAATTTAATTTTGTAAGGCAGGTTAATTTTTAATTCTTCAGCTAATAATAACAGTCCTTTTGATTTTCCTTTTTTCTCGCCTTCTGTAAATCTACACTGTAGAATTTGTTTATCACCATTATTATCTGTATATTCTATAACATCGACTGGACATCGTGTTCCTTCCTTCATTCCAAATTCACTTAAACTGTACTCACGCGTACTATGAGTGCGAGCATTGTCTATGATGATGTTAATTCTGTGATTCTGATAAGCTTTCTTGAAAGGAAGTAACTTAAACAATCGAGTGAATTGTTCAATAATTGCAGAATTGTCGAAGTAGCCTTTAACACCAACTTGTAAAGAACCTGAAGCGGATCTTGGCACATAGTTAATATTATTATCTTGCAACAGATCTGGATGCTTCTTTACTGCTTCTACCCATTCTTCTTCGGATAACTGGAAAAATGGACTATCAGGACGACATACCAGAAAATCACTTAACATGACACTCCGTCCCTTGCTTTTGTTGTAAAACTTTATTGTTTCGTCCGAATACAATCACCTCTTTGATGCAGTCTCACCACTTCTGAAACACGTTTCATCATGAAGTAAATCGGTAAGCAAAGAAGAGCGAAATTATGATGTACAGGAAGGAAGATGATTAAAACAGTTTACTCACATAACAGAATAACTGGATCTTGTTTTGGAAATATCCATTGAGAATTTATACCATCTGTAACTAAATAATAACTTTGTTTATTTTCTAAAAATGCTTGAACAAATTCTTTTCTATTTTCCACAGCATCTGGTCGTTCATGGCCAGACCAATATGATCTCTGTGTATTTTTATCAAATGTGAATCCATAACGACGTAAATCAAGACGACACATTCGTTCACTGCGAACTAACTGATCACTTGTTTTTACCTGTGAAATAGAAAATAAAAACATATGACACGAGACGGAGAAGAAACACACATCCTCCGGATTTTAGACTGAACTTGAAAAACATTTTCAATAAGACTAGCTGCTTCTTCGTTTTTAAAGATTTTTTAAAAGCTAAGTTTGCTAAGAGTCTCTACGTCGAAAATCCAAGTCCACGCTACAAAGAGATAAATAAAGCTTCTGACCCGTCCTGTCAATTTGTAGTATTGTTGATCTAGATATTGAGCCATCTCCAACGAAGTAAAAGATGCATCTTTTCGTTGATATCCTTGAATTGTAAATTATTTTATTTGATTTTCTAATTCTGGGAATATGTCGAAAAAACTATCAAAACGTTTTCGACCACGACACTCTTCATTGAATTCATCCAAATCATCAGCAATAAATGTTTCAGCCCATTTGTGTGCTGTACGACATGTTGTTCCACCAATTTGCTGAAGAAAATCATCTATAGTTCTCCATGAAATGCCAAAATATGTTAGTGTAAATAAATTAAAACTGACAATGAACGTTGAGAAGATTCATTTTTAATCATTTCAAATAGAGCACCGATATCTTCCAAATTAATTTTAGTCTTGAAACCAAAATCTTGCTCCTCTTTTGTTCCAATTTATTTAAATCGATTAACATAGATGCATCAAAATCATTTTCTTTTTTATCAACATGAGTATCAGATTTCCAACGTCTTCTTGCAGCCATGGTTGCCTGAGTTTTTCGTTTAGATGTGTTCACCATGACGAATTGTAAAATTCGAGAGTAAATATAGAGTAAAATCTAGAACACTCGAAAAGAAAGTACGTTTCGTTTCTAAAACCCGTCTCTTTCACTCTCTCCTCGATGCTTTTTGTTTAGTGCTAATATTCTTACAATTTGTTAATTGAACCAATAGGAGCTCTGTCTTGTGTCTCTGTACATGAGTTGCAATAAGAGTGATCTCACCCTATTACAGTCGAATTGCTCCCTTTGAGACTTTAGTAATTGAACTACGTATCATCGAACCTCCTTAAAATCTCTCAAAACTATGTCTAATGAATTCCTCATACTTTTTTGCCTATATGATGTCCAAAAGCTAAATTTTGAATGAAAATTTCTCTTGGAACTAAAAAAAGATCTGGCTGTTCTGAGGTATAGTAAAAGAAAATACTGTAGTTCACAAACAAAAAGCAATTGAGAAACGAGCATGCATAACTTTTATCTAGAAGTTATGGTGAATCTAGCGATGCAAAAATATTGGCTCTAACATTGTTCTGGAGAGGGCTGAAAATTTTGGTACAGAAAAGATTGCATTTTTTCCATACTAAAATTGTTATTGATTTTGGTCCACTAAGAGTAAATTTCTATAATTAGAAAATACGTTTCTTATATCAGTTTTAGTTGTAGTTTTACAAGAAAAAAAAATTAAGACTCTAGCTCTTATGGCTTAGGAATTACAAGGTCTTTTCCGGTAACATAGTGATTTTTTCGACTTCCCGATTTTGTCAGTTTTTTGAACCCAAAAAGAAACTTTTTCTGGACAAATCATACATATTCAGATTCAGCACATCAAACTACATCTACATATGCAAAACAAAAATCGAAAAAATAAGAAGTGCTGAAATTTTGAATTTCTGGAACCTTACACCTATTTGAAATCAAATATTATATATTGTATCGATCTTGATACATATTAAGACATTTTATTTCTATCAAAAGATATTTTATTCAATTACAAAAAAATTAAATGAATAACATGTGAACATTCATAAAGAAATAATCAATTCAAAACAGTAATAGACACTTTAGACCTATAATATGAATAACATCGAGGTTCATAATAATGAATGAGAAACATTTTAATATTCTGCAGAAGCAAACAAGCATATTTTATTTTTAGATTAATCATTTTTTAATCAACAAGAATATTGGCAATATCAATAATAAAGGAGAAAATTTCCACAAATTTTTCCTCATGAATTACATTCTGTTTGAGATAAATTCATATTTTTGATCACCCCAAGTAATTTGTTTTGATTTCAATGTTTTTTCGAGGAGTAAACATTTTTTCTCTAGATCTAAACATTTTTGTTTTTCTTCTTTAAGCAGCTTTTCTTTTTCTTCAATAGTTTTTTCTTTTTCTTCAATGGTTTCTTGTTTTTGTTTTAGTAATTCTTCGTTTTCATCAGCTAATTGTTGTAAATCGACTATAATTTGATTTACATTTTTTGGTTGTACAACGACGATGTCATCCTAGAACAAATTAAATAACTAGAAATTTTTTAATATAATGACAAATTTTACCTACCATGATTAATTTACGAAAAAAAACAATTTCGATAATCATTCAAAAATGACGTATTGACTAGATATATGATAGATAGTTTCCTTCGGGAATGGTGGGGGACGATGGTGGAGTCAAATCAGATGTTAATATTTATAAGGTGAGTAACGGTTCCAAGGCTGATAATTTTTTCAGTTGACCCTTTTTTAGAGTCAGTGCTCATCAATTATTGGCCATTATTATATTACCAGGAATTAACTAGTTGACTGATTGGCACAAACTACACTTTTTAATACATTCTTCCACAACTTATTTTGGTAATTGCACTTGTGTACCATCGGCAGATACGATTAAAAGTAACATCGGAGGAGTTGGTGCTGGTTTGCTTAAATGTAGTTCAGAGGACATGGGTGTGGTTGTTATTGTGGATCTTATCTCTAATCACATCCACACCCACTCTCACTCACCCACTAGTGGCGGAGCCAGGGTGGGACTGGGGGGAAGCTCAGCCCCTCCCAGGAAAATTTTTAAACCATGTATTTTATTTGCTAACCGGGGCTCAAAGGTCCCTCAGAGGGGGTTGAGCCCCCCCCCAGCTCAAAATCCTGGCTCCGCCACTATCACCCACACCCACACCCTAATACAATACAACCTTCCACTAGATAGGAGAAAGTTCAATTGAACTATATCAAAATCTGAGAAAATCCGAAAGAGAGAGAAAGATGGAACGAAAAAGAAAAATCTAACTATAGAACGAACGAAAGAGAAAAAACCAACTAACAGAAGAACGAAAGAGAAGACACTAATAAATGAGAGAATAACAAGAAAAGACCAATTGAACGAAGTTCAATTAAGTTAGCGTCAACAGATGACACTATGTTGACGCTAACAGATAAATCTTTGAAAATCTGATCATTTTCCAAAAAGCTATATATATGCTGAAAGAGGAAGCTTTGCTGCATCTTCTTGTGATAAAAACTCAACTTCGATATTTTCTTGAAAAATTCGATATTCTAAGGAGGGGGAGGGGGGGGGGCTTAAATCCTTAGTTTGATGGATGATATTGACGAACATAGTTCTTTCTTCATTCGACATCATTATTATTCAACATAAACTTCATTAATGAATATTTCAGTCAGTTAAATTATTAATAGGACGTTTAATTTTTGTTGATTCTGACTTCATGATTCATTTGGTTGTATCATTACATTACTAGGATGGATGATTTGTACAGACTAGAGAAGCAAAACTGACTTGACATATTCGAATTGCACATCAATATAAAAATGATTTTGACGTCATTTAATTATTAAATTTAATTTTAATAATGTATCTAACAATTAAAAAGAATCTTAAATTAATCAAATGTCAAATCTAAAAGAAGTTTTCTGTGGCGATGCCACACTTTAGAGGAATGTATAGGTAGATGGCACTAGTCTTACAGGTCTTTTCCTCGAATTATCTCATAATCTAATAAAATCATAGAGAACTCAATTAAAAAAAAATACTTAGAAAAGGTTAACAAAATTTTACATTCGATAAAGAATACTTTTAATTCAAGTAGAAAATTTAGAAAAAAGCAATATCACCAATCAGAACATGAGTATGTATTGCTCTTCATATTATGAATATGATTCAGCAATATTAAAACAAAAAAAACAAACGGTGACAAATACAGAACAAAATTTTTTTCTTTCCATTGATTATAATTGAAGATGTCTTGTCGTCTATATCTAATATGTTATATGATTTTGATAACGATCAATTTAATTTTTACAGATATTTATTTACATAATCCAAGGTATAACAATTCTTATAAATCTTATTCTAATATCTATGTACATGAATTTTCAGAGGTAGTAATAATCGACATAATGAACAGACTCGTGAACGAGCCAATCCCAAGTTGTAAGTTTTTATTTTTGAATATTCTCAAATAAATATATACATGTACCTTTTTTTTCAGAAGTTTTGATTCACAAAATAATAATCGAGGTGGATACAATGTTGGTGATAATGGAACCATGTATTATTATTCTAATTCGATATTGCCAATTCAATGGTAATAATAATGTTTTCATTTTCTAATCTTAAAATTTCCTATAGGACAAATCAACATTCATGTAATGATGTTAATGCTGATTGTACAATTTTATTTCAATATACATGTAGTGATACACTTCGAGATGGAAAATCAACAGTGTATGTAATTTGTTTTTTTTAATTTCATATAAATATTTTAATTGTATTGATTTTCAAAAATAGAACAATACCTCTATCAGTTGATGGAGAAAATAATTCAACATATCGATTAACAGAAGATTTAACATCATATTTAAATTGTGGTGTACGAAGTCGAAATAAAAATTTATTTACTGCTAATCAAGTAATAGAAAACAAATCAACAATTATTTATTTCACCAATATAGGTTTTTTTTCTAATTAATAGCCTCTTCAGGGTAATTCATCAAATTATACACGACAGAATCCTGGTGGTACAAGATATGGTTATGAATGTCCTGAAGAACGTGATTATTATCCATATTGGCAACCAACTAATTGGATTGTAGGACAAATATTTTCTGAAATAAAAAGTTTTTTTTTTGTGTTTGTTTTAATTACTCTTTAATTCAATAGGATATCGCTATTTTAACAAATCGACAAGATTTATGTTCTTATTATCGTCAAAATAGTCAAAATGTTCAATCACGTTTTGCATGTACATTTGTAACAAAAGCTGATTTAATAAAAGCCCATGATCTTAAAATTATTTTACCCAATAATAAAGAAGCATGCGAAGTATATTTGTCACAAAATCATTTGTTTTTTTTTTGTTAATCTTATTTTAATTTTGATGATTATTTAGACATTTAATAATCCACTTTTAAATGGTATAAAACCTCGTTGGATTGAATTTCCAAGTCATAATCAACCACCGCCAGAATGTTATGCACCATCATATACAAGAGAAAATCATCTTGGTGATGTTTATGGTTCAGATATGCCCGTATTTAATTGGACATTACCAAATATAAGTGCAAAAAAATGTGTTTTACGTGTTCGGTAAGTTTTGATGTTTTTTTCACCAACTTTTAATTTGATATTTTTTCTTGTTTTAGATATAATATATCAACTGGTGATTATGATGGGTGGAATACAAGTTCAACAAGTAATAATGGTAATCTTTATATAATGAAAGAGTAAGACTTAGATAAAGAAACTAACAGAATGAGATAAATAATTGGTTTATTTTTTGATTTATAAGATTTTTTCCAAATGAATCGATTGCTGAAAGACGAGGTTATCGCTATCAAACAAATCCTGAAATTAAATTATTTGATAGTATAGATTTAACATTTCAACTTGCTATAAATACAGCACAATATGGACGAGTTTTTCAAGACAGGTTTTTAAGATTTTGTTTATAAAATATGAAATTTATTATAAATGATTTAGATCATTTATATTTGAAATTCGACAACGTCCATCTGAATATCAAGATAAACCTATTTATAATCTGAATGTAAGAGGTAGACGTGGAAATATTGTTCAAGGTAAATTAAAAAAGAGAATAAATCAAAAATGATTGTACATATATTATGAAACTTTTTCTTTTAGTATATCCAGCTGTCGAATATGATTTTGTACCAAATCGATTAGAAATTCCACCGAATTCATATGTTCATATTCAGTATGTACTTTTTATCTGATATACAGTAGCTTTAAAAACTGATCATAGAGATTTAATTTCAACATTTTTTGCCGTAATCGTCACTTGTATAAAGAATCCAAATAATGGCTTGAATGAAGAAAATTATTTTCAAGAAGGATTTGAGAAAAATAAAGTCTGCAGAGCATTTTCTGAGTTCAGGATATCTATAAAACCGCAAACCTAGTTTTTCAGCACTCGGAACCCGAAAATAAAAGCTTCTTTTGATCACACAAGGTGATAGAGTAACTAATTCTCTACAAAATGAGATGTCTCCGAGCTGTTCACAACATTTTTCGACGGAACTATATCGATAATAAGAAATGTTCAAATATGGTTTTTTGTCCTCTTCTAAGGAAAAACTGGACAAAATGAATTTTTTGGGGCTTCTCTGAAAACATATGTAATTCAGTCAGAAAATGTCGTAGAAAACTCGGAAACATATCGTATTGTGTAATCAAATGAAGTTTTTATTCCCATATTCTATGTGCTGAAAACCTATGTTTAAAGTTTTCTAGAGATCTTAGATTTTATTTCCTTTCAAACCTTGTTGAAAACAATTTTCTCTATCCAAGCTATTATTTAGATTCTTTATGCAAGTTATCATTACGGAAAAAAGTCGAAATTAAATTTGTTTGATCAATTTCTGGAACCATTACGATACATAATATTGTATTTTTATTTAGATGGATTGGTTCAAATACCACTCCACAGGGTGATGGACAAGGAAATCAACAAATTGATCGAAATAATTTATTACTTTTAACTAATAGAGTAAATATAATAATTAAATTAATAAAACAAATCATTGTTATATTTCCTTTTTTCTTTCCTTAGATGGTTAATCCAAATTGGAATCAATTTGAATATTTAAATTCTACTGGTTTATTAACTGCCAATATACCTGCATTATTAAATCAAACAAATTTTCTTAATTTATCTTTGAATGATCGTCGAAGATTAGCTGCTTCGGGACAAAGTAAAAAAATTGAATTTTTTGTTTTTGTATTTCTGTTATTTAATGTATTCTTTAGATACTGATCCTTTATTATATAATGCTTCGGCATATTTTGATCTTGGAGCACGTTTAATATCTACTGAATCAGCTGGTGTTTATCATTATGTGTCAACTCGTAATAATGATTTTTCAAATCGAGATCAAAAAGGTCGAATTATTGTTCAACCATTTCAATTTAAATATCAACTTATTGGACAAAATACTCATACAATGAAATTAGAGTAAAAAAAAATCTCAAGTCTTAATCTAATGAGTACATCAAAATAAATGTCTATCTCAGTATTCTCGCTATATGATTCA